AAGCCCTTATGTAACGCACACAATGGGGGCTCTACACAGAGCTGGCGGCGTAGCCGCAAAACCGAAGGGTCAATGGAGGTTGCTTGTGAGGGCTAGACTCGCCACGGGACACCCATTTTATGGGGTTTAGGCGTTCAGAAAATAAAGATATGAATTTTTGAAGATTTTTGAAAAACGAAAATATGAAAAAAGAGCCCGGCAGCGCATATAACGGTTAAAAAAAAGCACCCGGCAGCAAGTGGTTAATGGGTGCGTTCAATTAGCTTATACACGTGTAAGTCAAACTTACACGAGAGCATTCGTTTAGCCATCACGTGATGGTGTCAGCCACTACTACCCCGGCTGGCAAACGGGTCTCTGGAGGCTGCCCGAGTGTAATGACGTCACGCATGGACTGTTCGTGCATGAACGTACATGATGGAACGTGGCGGGGACTTGACCTTTTTCCCAGAATGCCTTGGAAAACACACTGCAGCGTTCGATAAGCCTCATTTTGAGGCTTCCCTTGAGTGTAACACCGGTGTGTTCAGGGAAGCTAATCGAATGCACCCATTGAAAAGTAATGATTGTGACTTCTTTATTTCCTCCTGTGACATTGATTTCTGCGTAAAACTTAAGGCTCATTCTGTTACATTCTGTGACTTTTGATTCAGTAACCAAGTTGCTGTACATGTCAATTTCTTCTTTGTTATAAAGATAATCACTTGCTTTGGGGCATGTGATTAGTATGGGGTATTGCAGCATACCTGAGTACAAAAATTGTTTATTTCCATGGAGTGAATTTTTATATGTGGCCTTTGACAGAAGTGGCAAGTTTCTTATGCTGTCCAGTGCATCTTGAAAAGTGTAATCTGCATCAGGGGTTATGCCAGACTATTTTGGGTACCATGCCTCACTTTTAGTGCTTTTTAAATGAGACTTACAGTATGTACCGGTATCTATGAGAAATCACCAATTTCAAGTTACAGTATTCATCAGCATGGATGGCATTGATTTGTAATTATAAAACTTTATGTCAGTGCTTTAATTTTCATTTTCAGGTGCCAAAATCAAAACAGGTTAACCTCACTTTCAATTCAATATGGCCGACTTGAGAATAAGGCCAATCGCAATTCACTGGTTTTTCAGACTACCAGTGCCTTTGTGTCATTGACCAGCCAGCATATCCTTTTTTATGTGAATCCCAAAATGAATCACCAAAGAATTTTCAATTTCGATGAAATAAACATTTGATTGTTTTACTAATCAATCAAATATCTTAACAGAGCCTTAGGGCCTGCACATACATGTACCACATGTGTACTGCCCCACTCCTCGTACAGTAGCTCCTTCATTATCTAAAACCTGAACAACAATGAGAAAGGAGCAATCTATGAACCACATACATGTCCATGTGCATATGGCACCAGGATATACGGTGTATACATACATGTACAGATATCTTCATGTACATGTAGAGCAGCGCCCTCTCTTGTTGAAGCACATGTACATGTGCATCTTCCCTTGCAAAGGAAGTGCAAGCATACATGTACATCTACATGTAGAGCAGCGCCCTCTCTTGTTGAAGCGCATCCATACATACAATGTATACTAGCAGCCCATACTAACAAATGTGACCGGATCCTTCAAAATGAGTCTTACAAGGCCATTTTTGGAGTAAAGTTCTTTTCTGATGTAGATCAAAAAGAACAAACTGAGCTCTTATGTATCACATTCCGTCATCTTGATGAAAATGGACACTGCCTTTCCACTGCATGGGTGAAATGTCAGGGGTCCACATTAATTTATGGTACATTGTGCTTGATTCTGTTCACAGCCTTTAACTCCAAAGTCGCTCTGGTGATTTCCGACTCATTTCGCCAGGATGGATCTCAAATGATTCCAATTGATTCCAGGCAACATCACAAATGTCACCCCCCGACCACTTTGTAAATTATTTAGAGCAGCAAGTAGCCCACAATGCTTTGCACTGCAGGGAGGCATGTGGCCTAGTGGTTAAGGTTTGTAGCTTCGGATCATAGGGTCAGGGGTTCGAATCCAGCTGGTGGCAGCATGTTGTGATCCTGGGCAGGTCACTTTACTCCTATGTGCCTCTCTCCACCCAGGAGTAAATGGGTACCTGTGAGGGCAGATATGGTAGTTTAGCTGTTTGCGCCAAAATTGCCGCACTAGGCTAGTATACTCCCCAGGGAGCCGAGATGGTTTCAGGAATGTTCAGATGATGTGTGAGCTCTAATCCAAGCAGGTACCGGGTACAGTCAGAGGTGGCAGCAAGTCATATTTTGCAAGTCCAAGTCAAGTCACAAGTCATTTGGTCACAGGGCAAGTCAAGTCAAGTCATTTGGTCTAAACACAAGTCAACTCACAAGTCTCTTTATCCAAGTACAAGTCAAGCTGCACGTTATTTTGTCCAGCTGTAATAAGCAAAAAGAACCAGGCATCAACTTATGAAGTTACCAGTTACGATTTATACAAATGTGTGGGCCTGGTCGAGTAGCGTTTGACTTCGGTTGGTAACAAGTCATCGTTTTGCAAGTCCAAGTCAAGTCACAAGTCAAGGCTGGTATTCACAAGTCAAGTCACAAGTCATAAAAATAGCGACTCGAGTCCAAGTCACACGACTCATGTCACCAACTCTGGGTACGGTACATTTGGTGCGCACGCGTCGTGTACGCACAGGAGTGACCTGTATTATTTGTTCAAATAAACACTACTAAATGTGTGCTTGGAAAACAATTACATTATTCACAAAAAATGTCCCATCCAATACAAAGGGCCCTTTAATGCTGGTGGTGATGGGCAAACAACGCAATTAAGCACATCCTTGAAATCGAAAAAAGTCATCACGGTCACACTGTGCCCCAGGCTACTCTACACAATGTGTACACATTCAGTATGCTTGTCATGCACGCAGCGTGCAAACCCGTTGATTTTAAAAAAGATTCTGCGTTTCTAACGAGCCTGAACTGATACAAATGACGACGCGGAGCAAGGAGAGCAAGTCAGTAACCTTTGCCGCAAGACTGCGTGAAACATTACATTGCATCAAACAAGTTGAAATGTCGGAATTGGGAATGTTGCCACACACGTACACATGTACCAGTACATGTACATGTGCATTACATGTCAAGATGCAGCGCTGCATAACCCTAACAGTCTCAAATCCTCTGATTTCCATATAATGTGCATCGCTGCATAACCCTAACAGTCTCAAATCCTCTGATTTCCATATAATGTGCATCGCTGCATAACCCTAAGTCTCAAATCCTCTGATTTCCATATAATGTGCATCGCTGCACAACATTAAATCTCAAATCCTCTGATTTCCATATAATGTGCATCGCTGCATAACCCTAAGTCTCAAACCCTCTGATTTCCATATAATGTGCATCGCTGCATAACCCTAAGTCTCAAATCCTCTGATTTCCATATAATGTGCATCGCTGCATAACCCTAAGTCTCAAATCCTCTGATTTCCATATAATGTGCATCGCTGCATAACCCTAACAGTCTCAAACCCTCTGATTTCCATATAATGTGCATCGCTGCACAACCCTAAGTCTCAAATCCTCTGATTTCCATCTAATGTACATCGCTGCATAACCCCAACAGTCTCAAACCTTCTGATTTCCATATAATGTGCATTGCTGCCTAACCCTAACAGTCTCAAACCCTCTGATTTCCATATATTTTACATGTACCCTCTGGGGCTAGGGATAAGGACTTGAGGAATGTTTAGAGAGCCTTTTCTTTTTCCTGAAAACTGTCTCATTTACAGTACTGTACATGTACCGTACATACATGTATACCATATAATGCAAGGTTTGACTGTTTTCTCCTGGCTTACCGGTACATAGTGTATACTCTAAAACACAGCATTGACAAGGATGCATTATTTCAATTTTCTAATTAATTTTTTTTTAAATGACCACCTGCTTTGACGTCCTATATCCTTCGGCAACTCACCAAATATTTCCCCACCGCTGGCGTACTCCGTGACCAGGTACATGTTCCTCTCTGTCTCCATGACCTGGTAGAGGCGGACCACATGGGGATGCCTCAGCTGCTTCATCACCTCCACCTCCCGCACGATCTTCTTCAGGTTCTCCTCGTCCAGCTGCGTCTTGTCGATGATCTTGATGGCCACCTGGACAGAGGAAGAAGACGGCAACGGTTTTTGGGTGGGCGGCTGTCATGGCTGTGGTACTATCGAGCGAGTCCGGTCGTTGACTGGCCTGACAATCAGGCTCTCTCATCAGACGTACCGGTACTGCAGACTGCCTTCCTGACCTTTGTTTTATCCCCTAAGCCAAGGCAGTTTTCCAATACTCGCCTTCGTCTCTGTTTTGGGTTTTATCCCTTACATGTAAATTGATCCCTAAATGCAGGCCTGAAGTGTTAACATAAAATAGAAATATATGTACATGTAGTTGAATATTTTGTTCGATTGCACATAACTGAATGCTTTAGTGGGACTATCTGACTTACAGTACATGTACATGTACAGTGTATTTACCGAAAGCTGAAAACGTTGCAGTTTGGGGGATTCCAAACTGGGCAAAGCCAGAGACCGAGATGAAGCATTGGAAGAACCCCTAATGTAAGCCTCACCCAAAGATCCTCAAAGATGAGTTGACCTTAGGAAAATATGTGTTAACTTGAGAAATGAGCCAATAGTACATGTACATACATGTACATGTAGACATGCACAAGAACTTTCAAGTTATCAAGTTACAGGTTTTTGCTTCTTGGAATTGCTTGGGGTCAACTGTCATTCTGTTGATGGTTTCAACAAATTTCTTCGATTCTCACTGTTTTCCTTCGTCTTGTTTCTACTGAGCCAGATTCCTCCTAGCTTTTCTCTAGATCCCCTGTTGCTATTGGTAACGGTAGTCTGTGCTTTTCATTTTTGTTTTCTTTCTTTCGTTTTGGTCCATCCTTGAAGAGTCTTCATTTTTCCCCTTGTTGACAGTACTCGTAGGCAAGTCAATTGCCGAGGTTACATGTACATGTACATGTACATGATTTGAAGCCTATGGAGGAAAACATACAGTATACTGGTTGTACATGTACTGTATTAATGTATCATGCATACTGTCCATGTACATGAACATCCATACTCCATGGCACTGAGCACATAGTTGTGAGGACTGTACACATAGTGAAGCATGATGCGGTACTTGGGACGAAGTTGTTTAGGAGACAAAGGCTGCATCCGAATCTCTTGTCAAGAGCTAGGTCTTGGTATTCGCTCCATTGGAAATGCACGGAGACGCGCAGACAATAGACCTAGCCGTAGCTCTAGAAGCCCGTTTCGGATACGGCCAAAGATCCATCCCCACCACTGGGCCTCAAATTTCCTAATACCGGTACCCCTTCCCCTAGCCCCTGGTACACAAAACTGTCCCCTCAATGTACCGGTATCCAGTTCGTAAGTGACTTCGTCACAAAGGCGGATGCGCCCAGATTTGCGGGCTCCCATTGGACAATCGCTCAAGTTGCGGGTTAACTTCCGGCCGGCCATCTACATGTGGGCACACGTGCGCTTGTCTATCAAGCATGTTCAACTGAAAGTGCTGTCCATGAACATTGATGTACATATACATGTACATGTACATTGTGTAAAACATGGCACGTCATGTACAAATGCATTCTTCTGTAAGTAAAAACATGGGCATATCTATTTACTGTACAATAAGAGATGTATACATGTACCGTAGATGTGTAAGAATGCATATGACAATGCCTCATACATGTACATGTATATCGTACCAGTTCCGTATACAGTCAAACCTCATTAATAAGAGCACTGTTAATAAAGAATTATGCTTAAAACAAGGAAAATTTTAGCTCCCAATCCTTTGTTTTTCCTTGTGTCCTTTCCTGATAATACAAGGATCCTGTTATAACCACGATAACAAGGTAATTTGCCAAGTCCGAAGGACCTCCTACAGTGTATTAACGAACTTCGACTGCATACATGTACAGTACATGTACATACATGTACATCTACAAGTATCGGGTACAAGTGTCTTGCATTGTACTGTATGAGCATGTGCAGTGGAACCTGGTTAATAGTAAGTGCACTGTTACGTGTAATTACATGTAAAAGATTTTGTTTTGAAAAAGGACATTTTGGAGTTGCCAATTTATTGTTTTTTTGGTTGTTTCATTTTTACATGTAATAATACTATAACCGGGTAGTAGTCATCTGCCATGTCCCAAGAACATCTCATTAGTTGCTTGACTGTACCCATGTGCGTGCGCTATAATTGTTTTTGCAAGAAACTGATCATTTGCAAATGTAGAGAAAAGGAGGCGGCGGTCTGTCCTGTCATTGTTCTGTCCTCAGAGGAGATTGACGTCCTCACTGTAGGAGGCCGAGTTGGCTCACAGCCCTCACACCAGCCTCGCACAATGCCAGTGAATAACAGCCGAGCCATTTTCTAAATACCGCCGAAAAGGTCAAGTATCTAGAGTGACAACCTGGTGATTTGCTACGCACATATCCGTCCAGTGTGTGGCTCCCGCACATTTACAAATGTATGTGTACATTCTACGTATATTTTCTTTTACTGCGTCTCTTTTTTTCCCATCTCCATAGCCACTGCCCCCTTCTTTCCAACAGCTGTGCAGGTACATGTAAACTGGACTGGCATGTAGATGCATTAATGCCACTACTTATTTCTGTTCAAGGGCAAATCCTGAATCTTCTTTTTGTTTTGGAGGGGGAGGGTCTCAGAGCTGTTTTAGGGGGATGGGGTGGGAGAAAAACATTGAAAATTTCTCGGGTAACTGTTTACATGTATAATGGAATTCCTGTGTGGTGGGGCTACATTTTGGGGCTTTTTACACGCTTTGAAGGAAAGGAAATGAAACAAACAAAATGCCTCTCTCATTCTTTTTCAAGAAGGAACATTTTTGGATTTTTTTTTTTTGGAGGGTTGGGTGGCAAGGCCCCCATTGACCCTGAGCAAACCTTGCAGCTTTAACCTACATGTACCTGTACAAAAATATACACATGTACATGTACATTGCACATGTACATTGCACATGTACCAGTACATGAATACATGTGTGTATAGGATAAAACTGCATGCTGGGCCCTAGCTCCTTCAATTAAAGACAGAAATTTTGCCCCCTCCCACAGAAATCCATTTATTTTCCCACAACTATAGATGCAAACTGCTGTCCAGCCTACATGTATTGGGAAAGTTTCTAAGAACAACTGGGGAATTTAAGTGTGAATGAACCCCTTATGTCTGCATACACCATAAATGATCCTTAAAAATCCATCAAAAAATTTGGAAGGATTCCATGCAGTCATGCCCCTAGTACATACAGTAAGCAAGTTTACAGTTTCTACAGGGTGCAAGTCCTACACTAATTCAAGCCCCACTGAAAACAGTGTAAAATCAACAACATTCAGAGCACCATTGCAGGTACATGTAACTGGAGTCCCTGAGGCCTCTCAAATGAAAAATAATGTGTTTTTTGGTCCTTCAGATTTCATTTGATTTTCAAATTTTAGTAGATTTCGTTTGATTTTCAAATTTTAGTAGGTTTAACCAAATAAATGTTTAATTATCTGCCCGAAACAAACTCCCCCCCCCACAAAGTGAACATTCCCAAGTCTTCTCAGCAGCCATTTTTCAATTGATGTCCCTCGAGTTTCTCAGGCTCTTCTGACAATTTTTCAATGATATTTCTGTCTGCTTTGCCACCCAGATGAGAGCCCTTGAAAGTTGAATCTAGAGAGTTGATCCTGGGCCATACCTACACAATCCCACAATTTCTGGGCCCACACAGACTCCTCGAAAGAAACTGTCAGGGTACTTTTTAAGTGCCCCAGCCCGGCGGCGAATATTCCTCAAATTGGTAGAGTGCACCCTACAGACTAGCCACAACCACACATGGTGATGTGCATACATGTACATGTATATGTACATTTGTATATGTATGTAGAGAAATGTATGTATGTACATGTGTACATGTAAATTCTCCGCCAGGCCAAGGTGCCTAAAAAGTACATGTATTGGTACCCATAAAATTCTTTTGACTTTGGTGACTGAGGAATTTGGGGGTTGTGTACTGGTAAGTATGGCCCAGGATCTCTCTGTAGATGCAGGGGCACCCATCTGGGGGCTCCCAACTTTTCTTGATTTTACAACACATGAAATTCTAATCATGACTCGGCAAGTTTTGATCTTAAATTGCATTCTCTATTGTTTCACTCAGAATATGTCTACAACTGTAGAGCATCCACCGAGCTGACACTTCATCAGGTTTTTTAAGGCACCCCTTAAAGATTTTGAGCAATTTTGTTGCCTCAGAGGAACAGTTATGCACAAAAATACACCTTCAACTTTCAGTAACCATGCACTGCGAGCACAAACAACAAATGGAATAGTCCCGGGGGGATGTAAGGGTGTAGCCCCGCCTCTCTCCTGTAAGCTGACCATCGCCATGGTTAATGATTGAAATGCTACATGTAGCAAAACTACTGGTACAGCCACCCAGTTTCCCCTGCAAATTACTTATACGGTCTGCATCAAACCCAGGAAGACAGGTCATTACATTTTCAGCACAATGGAAGATGCTGCAAGGCACCTCAGCAAAATTTGTGAGGAGTTAAATGCACTGTCCATGGATTACACTGATATTTTGGTCTAGCATTTGTAGTCTCTACTTCCTCGATGTCGAGCACTGTCTAGTGTCTAACATCCAGCTCTGTCGTGTCCGTGTAAACAGATGCTAAGACAGATGGGGGCAAGTCCAACATCTTGAGCTGGGCATCCGATGGAGACTCGTTCATTACGGTAGTGTCAAGTCTGCTGATCTGCACTGCACACTGCACCAGTACACTGTGCCGTCTGCTTGGCTGGTGATTTACAGCGGTAGCGAGTCTTTCACTACCGAAACTCTTAGTTGGCCATCCAGCATCTTTACTTGGCTCACCAGGGCACGTGCACAGAAGCACTCACTCCATACAGAGACTGACCCCAAGAGAAAATGTGAGCTTGGAGGCGATCAATAACGCTGTGCAAACTCGGGCTATGGAGAGCAGTGCTCACTTGATGACCATGAAATGTCAGTGGGGAGATCTTGAAATGGAAGGACTAGGGCTGCATGTGTGTACTAGTACAT